ATATGGCGACCAACATCGACGCCAACTTTCCCAGGCCCAGATCAAGACACGCCTGCAGAGGTCCGGAGAGAGTCTGCAGGAATTTGAAGCAACGGCTGGTACATCTAGCATATGTCGGCTGGTACATCTAGCATACCCAGGAGCACCGGAAGGATTTAGGGAGGAACTCGCTGCTCAGTGCTTTATCAGGCGCAGAGGGCGCTGCAAATATCCTGATTTTCTACCAGCAGCGAAGCACTGGTCAGGGCGCTGGAAATCGAAGCTGCTTTTAGCGCCATCCCTAGACCGAAGATAAGATCGGTAACGGTAGAGGAACAGCCCGAGAGTACCCACAGAAGTTTGGAGGAGATGTGTAGAAAATTCGACAAACTATGTGAGCTACTAATAAACAAGTAAGTCAACAACACCCAGACAGAGAACCAAAGAAGATTCCAGGACATGAGGTGCTATGGATGCGGCAGGAATGGCCACATCAAACGGTATTGTCGCATCCAAATGCGATTCCATTCACCATCCAGAGAACATCGGCACATCGGAAGATCCCAGGACATAAGTTGCTATAGATGTGGCAGGAATGGCCACATCAAACGGGATTGCCGCGTCCAAATGCGATTCCGTTTACCATCGAGAGAACATAGGCACCCGGAAATCAACACTAATGAGCGAGTATTGGCTGAAGAAAACAGAGCCCCTAGGATGTTTTCCGTTAGGAGTCTAGGAAAAACCGCTGACAGTTTGGTGATCAACGGGAAGGTCAATGGTAGAAGAAATCGAATGACTGTGGACACAGGCGCTATGGTATCGTTGGTGCAGACTAACTCAGTGCGAGGATTGAAGATGATGCCTCTTAGAAGAAGAGTGTATTTACGTACAGTTACGGGGGAAATGGCCGTTGTACGGGGAGAGGCTTTCATGGAATTGGAGTTAGGGAATTTGAAGTTTCGGCATAGCGTTTTAGTGGCGGACATTGAAGATGATTTTATCATGGGTATGGATGTGATCAGTCAACATGGTTTTTCGTTTGATCACCATAGAAACATCCTGAAAATCGGAAATGAGGAATTTTCTGTATCTAAAGAGAAGAGACCAGGAAATATGGAAGAAATATTATCGAAAATTGTGATGATACCTGGTGATACCAAGAAGACTGTGTTCGGGAAACTAGAGAAAACCGTTGGGTGCCGTGTAGGACGGGTACAAATTATCGACAACGACCTAGATCGACGACGAGCTACCTTGGACAAGAAAATGAAACATCGCGAAAGCACTATCAGAATAAGGAGTTTTAAGCTTGGAGCTGATGAACAGTGGACGACGACACAATTGAGGAAAGATCAAATGGAAGATCCAGACATCGGAGCAATACTACGGCTCAAGGAAGGTAACGGCGAGAGACCACCGTGGCAGGATATTGCGTACAGAGGGCTCGTTTTCAAAGCTCTCTGGGCTCAGTGGAATTCACTGGTTATTGAGAATGGATTGTTAAAGCGCACGTGAGAAAGTGCGGATGGCAGGACAGTAACAACTTAGTTACTGGTACCAAGGAAGAAAGTTACCCAGGTATTGGAAGAAATTCATGGTGGTAAAACTGGAGCCCATCTTGGGGTAAACAAGACCCTGAGCAAGCTGAGAGACCGTTTTTACTGGGTGGATTATTGTGAAGATGTTAAGAAATGGTGTCAACGTTGTAAGGAAAAACCGCTGACAGTGGACGGCGCAGCTAGACAAGGACCAAGTACTCGATCTGGAGGAAAAATGGAACAAGATAACGTTGGACTGTCGTTCGAAAGAATCGTTAGGAAGGAAAGATTATTGGGAATTCATAAGGCCGTGATAAGAAATGAATTACGCTAGCCAGTGACGGATGGCTTCGTTACGACCTCAGAGCTAACTCTACGCGGGATTTCAACAGGACGATCTGGGCATGGTTATATAACCCACAGCGCAGAAAGGGAGGTCCCCAAAGTTAACTCCAGCATGGGAAGGTCCTTATACAGTCATCAAGAGGATAAATGATGTTGTGTACCGGATTCAACGCAGCCCTAGAAGTAAGATGAAGGTAGTTCATCTGGATCGATTGAAGAGATATCAGACAGGAAACCTTGATCGGGACGATCAAATTTGAGAAGGGGGCAATGTCAAGAAAAATGGCGTATCTGCCAGAAATTAAAAATGTATTACTGGTTGCCTGCACAACCGCAACGTATCCGCCAGAAATTAAAAGACTTTTTCAGGCGCCATCTTTTGTCAAGTCGAGAAGTAAGGGGAATCAGACAATAGAATTGTCTGGTATGAAAGTACGCTTTCCGAGAATTGGGGAAATTTCGAAGCAGTCAATAGAGTATATAAGCCGGAGCCATCGACAACTGAGACAGTTTTTGAAATTTGAATATACCGCGTGGAAATTGAAAATCGGACAATTTGGTGAAGGAATCTTATAAATAGTTAGTTTGTTGTGTGTTATAAGTTAGTAATTGTGTATAAAGTGAGAAAATAAATTCGTTAAGTATTTTATCGTGAGTTTAAATTAGTGGACCCACGGAATCCGTAACAATACATTTATACGAACTTTTTTACTTATTTTTATCTGCAGAATATGCTGCCGAAGTTTCCGGAATACAGATCGGACCACCCTGTATAAAAGGCAACCCTCTTCCGATTTAAAAGGTTGCAGTGTATAAATACATACCTGTTGTGTTATTTTCTTATTAGATGTTTCATTTGTATATAAAAACAAAAAACTTACAGAAACTTGAGGATTTTCTTCCTACAAAATTTAATTAACTGATAGATGTATAAAAATAAGTGTTTCAAGTTCCTCTTACTATTTGTTTTGCCTTCAAGCTATTCAAATACGTATAAAAAATTATACCCCCGTCATCAGAAATCTCTTGGAGCGTCATAGTTCTGTTAGACACATCTCCATTTCTAAAAGATAAACTTACATTTTTATATATGTTACGGCTAAAATAGATGCCTGGCTAGTTTGAAAGTTGACCAACAATTTTACAAAAAAATGATGTAACTAAATATACAGAATGAATTATTGTTAACTGTTTTTTCCAGTCGGTATATGTAACATGTATATCTAGTTTTGTGATCTGGATGTCTATACAGGGTTGTTCACCATATACGACACAGAGTATTGTAGCTAAACGATTAGATTTTTACAAATTGTAAATTTTGGGTTCGTTGAAGGACTATTAGAGCTACAATTTAAAAATATTTTAACAAGATACAGAGTGTCCCAAATAAGTAAAATGGAACACCCTGTATATTATTCTACTTTTAGATTCTACGATTGAAATAAAGGTAAATTTGATTAAGGTTTATCACCCTTAAACCATACCATTTTTGAAATATTTTCAATTTTATGAAATTGCAGTAAAAAATTTGTTTTTCTTCATTTCTCCAGGGGTATCAAAGTTTTTAATATTAAATATTTGCGGAAGCTTATTTATTGATCAGATATATTGTGTTGCAATAATAAACAAAATACTACCTTATACAGAATGTCTAAAAATTTATATTAAATAATTACTAGCTTTAAACAGCAATAACTTGTTTAATTTAAATGAAACACCCTGTATATTTTACTAAAATCAGATGCATAATTTAATTGTCTATCAAATTGTATTATACCATTTTTTACCTATCTCTTCAAGTTTTCGTAGAAAATGCATTTTCTTATAATTTAGACCTCATTTATCACTATACTCATGAAATATTGACATTTTAGATTATTTTTAAAGATGTAACAAAGTCTTAAAAAGTACAGATACTAATATTGTCGATATAGTTCCCTTATATCACATAAGAGAACTATATATCAATAAAAAAAACTGTTTAATATTTTTTGTTAAAGAGGACCAATTAATATGACCAGTATTATTCAAACTACATTAATTGATTAAAAATAATTGCTTCAAATACTAAAAAAACTGAATTTTGAATATGTATTAGACAGTGTGGTAAAAAGTAACACCTTATAAATTTTATTTCATTTTTTGACGATTGCTTATTTATAACAGAGACGTTAATTTTCCTAACTTATTATTATATTGATTTTTGAGTCAAATCCACATTTATTTTGAATAATTTATTAATTAAAACTATTATTATATGAGCCATATCGCATTAGTATATTTAATTGGTATACTCTTTTACAAAGATTTAAATAGTTTTCTTTTTTTTTGTAAACAAATGGGCTTGCAATATTATTATTTTTACCACTTGTACATTTTGTATAAAATGTACAATTTTACATGTTGCTCTAAAAAAAATATAAAATGTCAATATTCCATGGGTATAGTGATAAATGAGGTCTAAATTATAAGAAAATGCATTTTCTAAGAAAACTTGTAGAGATAGGTAAAAAATAGTTTAATACAATTTGATAGAAAATTAAATTGTGCATCTAATTCACGTAAAATATACAGGGTGTTCCATTTAAATTAAGCAAGTTACAGCCGTTTAAATCTAGTAATTATTTAATATAAATTTTTGGACATTCTGTATAAGGTAGTATTATTTTTATTATTGCAACACAATATCTGATCAATAAATAATCTTAAGTAAATATTTAGTATTAAAAACTTTGATACCCTTTAAGAAATGAGGCCTTAATTTTTTTATTGCAATTTCACAAAATTGAAAATATTTCAAAAACGGTAAGGTTTAAGTGTGATAAACCTTAATCAAATTTATCTTTATTTCAATCGTATGATCTAAAAATAGAATAATATACAGGGTGTTCAATTTAAAAAAAACTATATTTTTTTACTTATTTGGGACACTCTGTATCTTGTAAATTTATTTTTAAATTGTAGCTCTAATAGTCCTTCAACGAATCCAAAACTAACAATTTCTAAAAATCTAATCGTTTAGCTACAATACTCCGTGTCGTATGTGGTGAACAACCCTGTATAATGAATATTAAATATAAATATAAACATTGTAGCATCGGGTGTAGGTATAAAAGTAAAATCATTTTTACCTACTTGAATGATGTGGCTAAGTTAAAAAAGACCATTCCTGAACGCGTATTCGTCTTATAATCGTCAGCCCATTGTTTAAACAATTTATTGGGCTGGCAATTTTCGGGAACGTCAATGTATGAGAGATCTGACGCCATTCTTGCGAATCTCTTGATATATGGAGTAGTATATTTTACTAATTACTGGGAATAAACAGATATGGTTTTTGAAAGTCATATAGCGTCATATAACGTCATATAAACGTCATATAGAAACTTCATATTTCCAACTTGAACGTTGCCAGTTTTATTTTTAAATTTTCTTAAATTCGCGCTTTAAAACCTTGATCATTATACTTACGTGAATAAGTAAATCACTATGGAAACTGTCGCAAACACCAATCATTCATTTATCTTCTTTTTTTGTTGCACACGCGGTTCTTCTACTCTATCTATCCTTGTCGAGGGCGTAGCTTCCACGCGCCAAATTTGAACATTAATTTTAAAAATTTAATTTGTAAAGTGCACAAAACATCCCCCTTTAGAACTTTTTCTTTAATGGCCATAAGCGGGAGTAAAATACCATCCGCCCGAACAAACACTAGAGGCGCCACCGGTCATCAAATGGTGTAAAAATTGCGAAAATTTAATCATCTAATTTTGACACAAGGGGTCGCGCTTAACTTTTTTAATTTTTATTTTAATTTTAATTCAATATTCATTGTTTTCAAACTATATTATTATACTTTGTTGTATTTTGTGAATGTATAAATGTTTTCTTTGTATAAAGTTGCATTATATTAATTT